GTTTTTTGTTTCCTTTCCCCTCTGAGGCTGCCTGTGTGAATGGCCCAAACTCGCCTCCCAGCTGGCGCACTTAACCAAGTGTTTGTCTTGAGGCTGGCTTGCATTGTCGAAAGAGAAAGCATTTGCATTTCCTTTGTAAAGCTCCCTTCGCTGCAGTTGGAGGGTCCGAGCTGCGAAGGGGGGAGAACAGCAGTGCTGAATCATGAATGAAGCAGATAACCCGAAGCCAAACTTTTCAAGCTTGCGTTTTCAGCGGCAAAGTAGCTTGTTTCTATTGTGTGCTGGCCCATCTGTTCAGAGATGCTGATGGTTATCCCGGTGCCTGTTGCTTCGACAGCGTCCTGTCTACAATAGCCATTTGCAGCCGGCTCGTAAACGCTGCATCTTTTTCACAGGAAAACAAAGGGAGGGCGTTTTTTGCAGCCGTGCAAGGAACATCTGGCTTGGGGTAGATGATGCTTCTAAGTTTTTCTTCCTGTTTTTTCCAGGAAAGCAGGACTGCATTTCTTTTTAGAGTAGATTTTATTTCCCAGTGTTTTCAAAGGAGAAGAAAACATTTTCTTCCCCTCTTTCTGGCAGAGTTTAGACTTGTGACTGTTACAGAGCAGGGACAGCCCTCTTACTCACTAACAGCCCATATCAGGCTTCTTTTAAAACAGAGACATTTGCTTCAAAAGAAAGCAAACTTTCTAATTTGGATGCATTAAAAATAGCTCTTAACTAAATGCCTGCTAGTTGCCTTTAATTTCCATCTAGATGCTTGGGGCCACCTTGGGTCCTTCTTAAGGTAGAATCTGCCTTTCTTACATAGTCTAGCAGAAAGAGAATACTTTGAGTGCTGGGGGAGGCTGGGACCCCCAGGAATGACATTTCTCAGCAGCTGGTCCCTCACTCTGGGACAGCGTGCCACCTGAGGGTCAGATATGCCCCCACTTTTACATCTAGGGTCATTGGAAGTTGTGGCATTTAAATCCCTCAAGAAATAAATGTTCCTGTTTGATTGTTAGAATATTGGGCTTAGACTGGTGTTTCTCAACCTTGGCAACTTTAAAATGTGTGAACTTCAACTCCCAGAATTCCCCAGCCAGCATGCTGGCTGGGGAATTCTGGGAG